TCGACGACTTCCAGCCTCCGTTGGGAAGATATATCCATTGGGAAGCACTATTTAGATCATTGGACTGACTCTCGAAAACAGCACGTAGACGCGGCTCAGAAGGGCAACCGGTTTTCCGGAACGAACTCCGCAACGAAACCACCGCACTTGTGCTCCAAGCCTCCGGAGTAGTGGCACCATGGAGGACGGAATTTAAGAGCTTCTGAAGAACACTAAGTATCGCTTTTCAACCCGCTTTCAGAAGCTCTGCTGTAATTCCATGCTCGCCTGGGGACTTGCCGTTTTTAAGGTGCTGGATAGCCATTTTAATCTCGCTCAGACTGACGTCCGGGATATCATCGGAATAGTGTCGGATAAGACTTGCTCTTGCACCGTTACTCACACTCGCGTGTAGCTGCAACGATGCGTGTACAGCTGCCCATAGAACCTCTCAATCTCACTCAGAATCTCTGGTGTACTGGAAACGATGCTGCCACATTCAGTCTTCAGCTTCGACAGTTAGCTCTTTCTGGAAGACAGATCTCTGGCAAAGACCTAGGAGCCCTGGTTCCGCTCAATAGCTTTTTCAATGTGAGCTGTATGGAAGTTACGTATGCCCCCCGCATGCATTTGAAAATCTGTCTGTTTGAAAAAGTTGCCTGTATGCTGTCAAATCTGCTAACGACTGCAGCTAAATCTCCCATCTAATAGCTATGAGATTAAGAGCATGATCGGGGAGTTTTTGTGTTCTTCTGCGACGGGTTTTACAGAACTTACCAACGACCGCAAGGACAGTTTCTACAAGCTTGTTAATTATATCGTCCACTTCATTTCAGTTTTAAAGTCAATGAAAACGATTTCATAACTCAAGCTGAAAGTTTTGGGGCTTTGGATTAGAGCCCGAGAGGGACGGAGCGTTGACTTCATTAGACGTGACCTCTCCAACTTCACGTTCAGGTTTAGTTTGCCTGCCTGCCACCATTCGGTGATCTCTGCCAGATTTCACCCTTGCGATGACTGAGACATCACTTGTCGTCATAATGAAGTCAATCTCATTTTTGTCGAACTATCGGGGCTCGACCAGGTTCAAGAGTTTTTATAAAGAGTGCCTCTTTCTCCATAAAGTCAGCTGTTAGCCCCTTTGGTTTCGTTGCCATATTTCGAATATCCCTACTTTTAGCTCACCATTCTCCCTTGTGCGTAAATTATTTTTTAAATTTTAGATTTCGTTTGATTTATTGTTTAAATTTTATTAAACTAAGTTTGTATAAAAAGATGATTATAACCCCTGGGGAAGATGATCGCTACCAAGCTATTTCTACTAGTATGTATTGTTAATTGTAACATACATGATTGCAAGCTGTTATTTTTTTTAAAGTCCCACTGGTTTTCTTGCTGGTTCTTCCCAGGACTGAAGTTTTTTTCCGAACCAGTGGTAAATTAAAAAAGTGACTTTCAATAAGTATTATTTATAATCTATATTGAATAAAAATGATTCTGTTTCTGCTTCGTATATTTAATGTACTTATTGATTATTATTATATATATTTTTCAATTTAGTAATTTTTTAGATTTTATCATAATATGATATTTTAGAATTTTTTGAAGCTTACGTTTGACAGATATTTGAGATTCCTTATAGTACAGTAAAAATAGAATTTAACTTTGCACTAAATTACCAATCCAATTTTTATTTTTCATAAGGTTTAGGATCACTTACTGAGCATAAAATCACAAAATGCTTACAGATACAGGTGGCACTTCAAGCACCATCTTGAAAAAAATGTTTTCACCCGATATCTCGGAAACTATGCACTTTAAGACAAAAGTTATACTTATCTTTTATTTCCAGTAAACTTTTCTGTAAAACTTACCATTTACAATTTATGGCCCATTTAATGAATCGGTTTTTCTATTGTGGCCAATAACTCTTGAAATATTAGATTAATAATACATAATATGCATACATAAACACTCACGCCTGTCACCCAGAGGGGTAGGCAGACTACAGACTTCCATTTGGCATGATCCTGACACACCTCTCTCGCCTCCTTCACATCCATATACCTACGCATACATACTCGTCAGCTAAGAGTACTCCTAATTTGGCCTGTTTTCAATAAATCGCTAACTTGGTCGAAAAATTTTCGCCTAGGACGTCCCTGGCCAACACTGCCATTTACTTCTGCAACATAAATTTTTTTTCTTTGTTACTCTTTCCTCATTCATTCTTTCCGCATGAACAAACCACCAAAGCATTCCTTTCTTAATCCTGGTCACACCATAATCTTGCAAACCACACTCTTCTCTTATCACACAATTTCTCACCCTGTCATTCAGATTCAGCCCTAACATACTCATTAACAACTGCATTTCTACTGCATTTATTCTACTCTCGTGCTTCTTCTGCCACACCCAACTTTCACTACCATATGTTAAAGTAGGGACCAACACAGCATTGTGAATTGACATATGTGCCTTTTTTGACACATTCTTCTATTGTGAAGATTAATAAATAATATTCATTAATCCAATAAAATTTTAAAGATCAGTTTATTCTCTACAACTTTTGTTTCGAATTTTTTTTTCTAATGTCCATACTTTTTGAGTTATAGGATGTTTAATATTGGACTACCGAGCATAAAGTTGAAAATTTCAAGATACTTTCTTTTATGTGCTAGAGCCAAGCTGCAGCTATATTATAGTTGTAGCATGAATGGGTCTGCTCAACCGGGGCAGGACCACGCCCTGACAAAATATCAGTGTAAAATAGCAGCATAATGCTGCTGTGTTTCATATGGTGAGTGTAGAGAACCGGAGACCCATTTTACTGGAGGTGAGGCATTCCATCTTAAACCTCAGGGGTGACAACATATTTGCATTTTGATTCTTAATTGACGATAAATGTAGATGTCCACATCCACCATATGGGCCACAGCATCCACTTACCATCAGGTGAACTGTGTGCTCATCTGTCACTGAATGCTATAAAAAAAATACGCATAGCTGCCGCGTCACCCACCGAGCGTCGGCCGAGCTCAGCCGTGGAAATTTTCAACTCCATGCCTGGTAATCCAACATGAAACATCCTATAACTTAAAAAGTATGGATATTAGAAAAAAAAGATTAAAACAAAAGTTGTATAGAATAAAGTGATCTTTAAAAATGGATTAATGCACATTATTTATTAATCTAATATTTCAAAAGTTATTGGCTTCGGTAGAAAAACCGGTTCATTAAATGGGACATAAATCATAAACGGTAACTTTTACAAAAATGTTTACTGGATTGGAAATTTAGTGAAAAGTTGACCAAAAAAAACATCTATTTTTATTGGCCTATTAGTGTATTTTGGAAGTTTATTATAACTATATTTATATATGTGTGCATTAATACAATTATAAAATTTTTAGGTTCATTAGGTTTCTTTTACCATAACTAGTTCTGGTGTGCATAGAATGAAATAATTTGCATTTCTTAGTTGATTTTTTTTGTCTCTTTTAATGAGTGTGGATATTTTTATTTATTATTTTACAAATCAAAAATGCATGCATGATAAACATGCAATTAGTTTATATTTAACATGTATCATTATATATTTTATTAATTAGTGTCAGATAGTTATAGTTGAAGAGAACCTTATTATGAGGTCTTTTTTTAAGTTATTCTTTGCTGCTGAGCTCCACATTTCAATCAGTTAATCAATGTGAGGTTTGATTGAAAATCGTTAGGTAACATATTTTACTATAAAGAACACCAAACTACACTTAGAAGGGTACCCATTATAGATGACAGTTTGGATTTAATTTTAATTATCAGAGTTTTCTATGTAAGATTATCACCTAATAATTTTATCTTACTAATCTGATATCTTACCTAGGTATTTTTGCAAATGGATTGACTGATTATTTTTAGAAAATTAATATTTATGATACCCATACTAAACCAAATCTTAACAAGTTTCCTGTCCGCAAAACAGACACAATAATTTAAGCACTAGAAAGGTTCATATATGATTCATTGGACAGGAAAAGGCTTAAATAGACAAACAGTTTCACCTCAATGAACAAAACCAAACGTCATCCTACTGTATAAAAAAGTGGATAAAATGAACATGGCGAGTTTGCCCTGTTTATTTATCCACTTTTTTTTATTGTTTCTGTGACTCCAACACAAGTTTCTAGCCTAACTCTCATTTTATTTTGTAAATTTTTATAGGCCATGTATATGTTATGAGTTAGCAAATTAGTATCAATGTGTTTATGTATTGGATTACTTTGTGAAGAGGACTGAGGCTATTTGTCATGTCACACAGGAAAACTAAGGGCCTGAATAATTATATATGTTAGGTTTTTTTTAGGCTATAAAGTAGGCATGTATTTGTTAGTTAAATTATTGTAATTATTTATTACATAACTATTGCAATGGCTAACCCTGTAATAGTAACTGTTTGTATAAAATAAATAAAACTTTTCTGAATTCACCTTGCTCTATTGGTTGGTTTTAATCTTCTATAATTAATCTATTCTCTAGAGGGAACCCCTTTATAAATGTTATTTTAATGACTGATTATGCTGTTACAGCACAACACACATGCCTAATTTATAGTCTAAAAAAACCTAACACATATAAAGCCACCTTTTGGAACCCACTCACAAACAACAAGTAAAAATCCGTTATCTCAATGTGTGCAGTGCCGTGTTAGTAGTGCTTTATTCAGGCCCTTAGTTTTCCTGTGTGGCATGACAAATAGCCGCAGTCCTCTTCACAAAGTAATCGAATACACAAACACATCGACACTAATTTGCTAACTCATAACATATACATGGCCTATAAAAATTTATAAAATAAGATGAGAGTAAGGCTAGAAACTTGTGTTGGAGTCAAACAGGAATAATAAAAACACTATCACAGAAAATTGTAAATTTACATGTTTCTACCCAGCTGGGATGCTAGCCCAAAAAGTCTCAGTTATCAGATTACATTTATAAAAAATTGAGATTCTTACATCTATGACATACCTTTGTTCGCTGTCTGCCCTGTCCTCTTTTCACAGGTGAATCTGGACTAGATTCTTCACTTTTAGTTTTTTTCACATTACTATTAGTCTTATAAGCACCAGGCTTGTCCTTAACATCTTTTTTAGATGCACTGTCTTTAATGTCATCACTTGAATGTCTATGTTCATCACTTTCACTTTTAACTATTGCTGTGTTCCTAACATTCTTAGATGCAATCTTTTGCGGTGAGCATTTTGCTGGCAGTGCCTTTTTAACTGCCTTAAGTGGTAAGTCATCATCGCTTGAAGAATCACTAGAACATTTGCTACATGATTCTGAACTCGTACTTGTGTCTGATAACTGTGATTTTTTCTTTTTGACACCCACTTTTTCCTTCGTGTTTGAGTTTTTTGCTGACTCTTCCTCCTCAGGTTTTGTCTTTACTATAGATCTTACTGTCTTTTTGGTAGACACTTTACGAGGTGGAATAGCAGCTATTTTTAGTTTTAATCCAGTATCACAAGATGTGACAGAGAAATGTGGTTTCCTAACAGAGCTCTGTTTTGCACCAGCACATTCCCAATCACTTCCTGAAGAATCGGTGCTGCTACTGTTCTGTAAATAAAAACATCATCTTATTGTAATTGTAAAATCTAAATATAATGTTAAAAAAATACTATGTTATTTCATAGACATTATTATCATGTTTATTGATTCAATAGCAATATCTTCTAGTGAGGGTAGTATCAGAAACCATATATTAATGAGACTAGAGTAGTGAATAAACATGTACCCATTACCAGTCTGGATGTTTTTACATGCAATTTCTAGGTAGAATCCATCAAAAATTGTAAGCCATTTTGATGCAAAATTAGAATTTCCTTAGTGTCAACTTCCATAGAGCCATGGTAACTCAGATGGTTAACGCTCATTGTAAATTTCACAGTACAAGAGCAAAGCGGGTTTCTATCCCCGCCAGCATCAATGAAATTGTTAATTGCAATTTTAAGTACTGATTTACCACATACTAGACTATAAAAGAAAACATTGTTAGGTAACCGGCATGTCTGAAAAATAGGAAAAATATTTTCAAGAAATGTGAAGTTCGCAAACATGCATTGGGTCAGTGCGGCAGACACCTCCTTGCCCTAAGACCTACTACAACTACTGCTACATAGTGCAGTAGAAATCGTTCTTAACTTTCAAGACTTAAATTATAAATTCTGTTGTGGAAACTATGATATATATTCAATGTTTTACTGGATTCAGAGGGTTCGGAAGTGCACTTTGTTTTGTTGTTCCCTTATCCTGTTTTGCAATTAAAGAAAAAGTATATATATATATATATATATATATATATATATATATATATATATATATATATATATATATATATATATATATATAACAATACCAGAATCAACAAGTGGTATAAGTGTAGCTGTTACTTAAATTATTTTAGTCACTTTAATATATGCTTCTGTGATTACCATACCATTCAAAAAATGGACCGTAAATGATATAGACCCATTTATGGTCCATTTTTTGAATATTTAAATATAATGGCATCTGATAAAAAAACTAATTGCCATATTGTGGAGGAATAAGAAAACCCATCAACATATTATTTTTGCCTATGGACATTGTAAGTGGTGACTATTGGAAACTATTTAGGAAATATTTGGTCCAATATTATATGTTGTAAATTTTTTTTAAAGTCCCACTGGGTTTCTTGCTGGTTTTTCCTGGGACAGAGGTTTTTTCTGAATCAGTGGCAAAGTAAAGAAAAGACTATAAGATTTTCATACATTTGATCAATATTGAATTAAAAAAATCTATTATTATAATGATTTCTTAAATTTACGCGAACACTACACATTGAATAAAACTATTATTTACGGATTTTATCGCGTTTAATTACTTTAATTTATTTTTATTATTATCCCGACGTTTCGGGTGCTTTACAGCGCCCATGGTCACGGGGGGGACTGAGATGTTTGACGTCCCAATGGCATAGTTAGTCCGGCTACCTTCAGTTTTTTAATATTAAATCGGACCAAAAATTAATTCTATCTATTATAATATTAATTTCAATCTATTATTATATAAAAAGATCTCATGACTGCAGATGGTCACCATATTATTTCAGCCTATGAATATTGTCAGTGGTGACTGTTGGAAACTATTTAGGTAATTATTTAGTAAATATTTTGTAAAATCTGTCATATATTAAAATTTATTTAAAAAAAAAGTCCCACTGGGTCTCTTGCTGGTTCTTCCTTGAACGGAGGTTTTTTCTGAATCAGTGGCAAAGTAAAAAATGACTAAGAATTACATACATTTGGTCTGTATATTGAATGAAAAAATTCTATTATTCTATAAAATGATCTCATGAATGGAGATGGATGGTGGTATAACCACATAGTTTTCACTGATTGTAAAACATCCAGACTGGCAACGCTGTACAACTTTAAACTTGAGTAGTGTCTGCCACTGTGATTGTCAATCTGTTTACCAAGTGTGTAAAATAAGGCAAATCCTTCCTATCAGAATGTTTTTATCCCTCAGAGGACATTTACAGGCTACTAAAGAAAGAGTGGGATAATTACCAAAAAATTTCTTAGAAATAAGCTTAAGTAATAAGAAGTCCGGACTTTATTTAAAGTAAATTATTTGTTAGCATAGCATTAACGTAGTATTAAATTTTATTACAGAATTATTAAATCTTTCAAGTAGTTTGCTTCTTTGAAATTACAGAAATGAAAAATATTCTTTGGTCATTTGAATGTCTACATAAGCACTAGCACTATCACTAAATATAATAATTGCTAAATGAGAACTAATGCTAATTGTGTCGCAACATTGTAGGGGTTAAGTGGACCCAGTGGGTGGAATTTACATCACCTACAACATAGATCTAGCTTCTATGCATCATGTGGCTCTTTTCTAATAGCTCATTCCCATATATGAAAAAAGTATCCCTTATAATCCATTATGTTCCAGATAGAACACCAATGAATTATTACTATCCATTCAATAATAGCAAACTCAAGTGGAAGTTAAAATTTGAAATAGTTAATAGGTATATTGCAATTTTATCAATAAAATATATGCTATACTAAAAAAAAAGAATTACAAACCTCAGAATCAGTATTTGAATCAGTACCACCACTTGAATCTTGAGTTTTTGGCACCTCTGTGCCCATTTCTGAAACAAATTTTGAAGAAAATGTTTGTTAGAAGTAAAAGTGATTATTAAAAAAAAAGGAGTATTTAAAAATCATCAAATTGGGTTGTCATTGTATGGGGTCACATCTTACTATATCTACCCATTGCAGCCCCCTGCTAGGCGTGGGCCCTACAGATCACAGGTTATAGACTTGGCACTTGCAACGCTGATTACAGTTTAAGACATCTTACTTCCTGCTTGCAGTCTAACCAAATTATATCTGGCATATATAAGATAGTTACCCATCAGATGTGGACTATGATATCTACCTGGCCTTCCAATAGTCTCCTCTTACACATTCGCAGGATGCAATAGGTTATAATATGCAATATTTGTTTCATTCACATTTATAACTCTAGAGCTATTATTAAAGTATACTATCGAAAAATGAAAAAAATCAGCTAATCCTGTTACCGAGATTAGGTCTAGAAATCTTTTTTAATAAATGTAGATTAAACCTTTATTACCTGCATATAAAATAGAGGAATTGTTAACCTCCTTTTTTGTTGATTGGAAATGATCAAAATTAGTCTAAATCAGTTACTCGGGATAAATACTAATTACTTCAAAGAAACAAAAATTACTCACAACTCGTAATCAGAATTCAATAACATACTAGTTAAAAACATTGGCTTCAAGATATAAACAAAAATGATATAACATTTGCAAAAAAACTGTTGATATTTAAAGTTAATACTTACAATAAGATAATATTTACAAAGTTAATATTTATAGTATGTACTTACTACATAGATTGGTCAAGATGTTCCCAAAAGCAAGCTTACGAGTTTCGTCATTTCAGTCATAAGTTGCAATAGGATTTATAACAACACTGTCCTGAAAATGTCATAAAGGTTTATTAATAAAACAAACTTACATCCCAAAGGTTTTCTATTGCTCTAAAATAGAGTTTCTCTTTATAGCAATTTGTGTCGGATGACAGATCTGACGACACTTGAAAGACCAGTTTTATTTCATGATGTCGCATATAGGTAGATTCGTTTAGTCTAGAATACTTATAAGATTGACTGTACATAAAATCTATCCAGTATTGTTTGCATATTAAAAGGAATAAATAGCCCGTGTTTAACGGTTTTATCGACATTGGCGCCAAATAAATGCATACGTTTACATACACAGCTATATCAATTAACGAGATTCTTATTAAGGTTATTACACATTATATTTTGCATCATTTAGCTAATAATTATTAATTGACTAACCAATTTAACGTAATCCAAAATAAGGAAAGTTATCTAAATTATTACAAAATCACTTCGTTTTTCCAGCATTTGCTTTGCTTGGCCTCCATGTTTACAAATCTTTCGTATAAAAATTAGGTAGAGTACGTAGTTAGGTAGGTATGAACAAGAGAAAGCTGTTGAAATTGTAGCTTATTCGTTTACGCATTAGGTAAATGTGAAAGAAAAAGCGAGATAAAAGATAGCTCAAAGCAACAGTGACGCAAAATGGCGTCAAGTCAAGCAAGAACCATAACTATAGATTATAAAATACTAAAATAAATAAATGAATTTCTATTAAAAAGTACTATTATTTTACATTATGACAAAAATATAACTTCAAAAATAAAAAATACACCTTTAATGTCCTTATATATACTATGGATCATAATTATGTAATCTTAAGCGCAAGCGCGTAGGAATGTTCTACTAGCGCCTAAAAATCAAGAATCTAACGTTTTGTCGCATGAAATCGTATCTTACAATCATATTGAATATATTAAAATGATTTGTATAACTCAATCTATTTTATAATCTCTTTATCTATCACATGGGAAGCCAGGGAATGTAAATGGCTGTTTAATTTTGATTTGTTTAGTTATAATTAATTTCTTGTCGGCTGAGAAATTCTGAAATTTTCGGTGTTTGAGCAGCCCTCTAATAATATATTTTACTAAATACTCACTCCGGGCTCCGGGCTCGGCCGCCGTCATAAGTGGGTTACTGTACCGTTTATTTAGAGCGACTCGTGATGAAAAATATCGATCGCTATAGTAGTACAAAATGTTCCAAAAACCAAATTCGATACATACTTGACGAAGGTAAGATATTATTTTTTTATAGTCACAGATTTTCATTACATATTGCTTTGCTAAAAGTACGTAGGATTTATATATAAATATAATTGTACGTCGGAACTTTTGGGTTTTTACCTTGTAGGGTTGTTGGCCCTACGAAGAACCCTCCTCCTTTACCCGGGCTTGGGACCGGCAGTGCGCAGGATGCAACACAGGCGGAGTTAGTTAGTTAGTTAGTTAGTTTGTGGATTTCAAACAGGCATTTGACAGTGTGAACCGTACAAAAATACTCTCCAGCATGCTACATTTGGGACAACACGTTAAAGTACTCTAAAGCTGTTGTAGCCATACAGAATGACCTGTATGAGCCTTTTGAGATCCGATTGGGAGTGAAACAAGGAGACGCACTATCGTCTATAGTCTTCAATTTGGCACTTGAGGCTGCCACACGTAAATTGAACATCAATGGCCTGATTAACTACAACAACACTCAAGTCGCTGCGTATGCCGATGATATTGTTATTACCAGCAGGTCAAGAAACAGGATGATCGACCACTGTCTAATGCTGGAGACCTTTGGACTGCGTGTAAATGCATCCAAGACTGAGTACCTTGCAACAGCTAGATAACCTGGACAGCCACAAAACGTTAATGTTGGCAATCAAACCATAAAAGGCGTGAGCAGCTTCAAGTATCTAGGAGCAACGATTATCCCCCCCCCCCCACAAATAGATCTGACGAAGAGATTAAGGCACGAATTGAAATGTTATTACGCGTGTGCCAAACTCCTGGGTTCTAAGCTGCTTAGTGTGAAATCGAAACTCACCATCTACTACACCATCATCAGGCCTATTGTGACTTATGCCTGTGAAACCTGAACTTTAACCAATAGAGACGAACTGAAGCTTGCCGTGTTCGAAAGGAAAGTGCTGCGAAAAATCTATGGCCTCATAAAAGAGCGTGACGGTATCTATCGACAACGCATGAATGAACTGGACGCACTTATCGGGCACGAGAACATCGTCAGGTTCTGTAAGTCACAGCGACTGAGGTGGGCGGGTCACATTGAAAGAATGCCGGATACAAGAGCCGTAAAAATAATGACAAAGTGGACGCCGCAACAAAAGAGACCGAGAGGCAGGCCTAAAAAGCGTTGGAGTGACTGTGTGGAAGAAGATCTCAGGAAGATGGGAAGTTTACCAGCTGGAAGAACGTAGCCAAGCAGCGTGACAACTGGAGGAAGATTGTGGAGGAGGCCAAGACTCACAAAGGGTTGTAGCACCAACGGAAGTAAGTAAGTAAGTATACTTGTACGTCTTGCCAAAGCCAAATCGAAGTCCGTAGTGTGTGCGTGAGTGTTCATGTATGTATTACTAGCTTCACAAAAAAATCCGTCTAGATTTTTAAGAACTTAGCTTAGCTATTATAAAATTCTAAACAACAAATTATTTTGGTTGTTGCTCTTTGTTGACTTTCTTCATTTTTTGCCTTCGATTAATTCGTTGCAATTAAAGAACATTTATTTAATTATTATTACTCAAATTAGAATATTATTTACATAATTAACAAAATATAGGACCACCTAGTTAAAAAGTATTTCGATCAAGTATTTTCTGATTAAATAATAGAAAATAATACTCAAATAATGAAATATAATTTCTTGTAAGTTAACACACTTATAAGTATTTTCAACATCAATATACTCAAATAACTAATTATAGCTTCTTCTTAATTAATATATAAGTAAGTTAGTATTTTCAGCAAAATATAATGCCTATTCTAAAAAAAACTAAAACTATCTTCTTGACAGTCAATAGTGTTAAATAAATAAACTAATGACAAATAATAAGGTAGGTGTAATCAGTACTTGTTGAAAAATAAAGAAGACAAACAATTATTGAATGCTATGCTGTTAAGAAATAAAATTTAGTCAACTTTTTAAAGGTGTTAGACGGTTTCTTCTATAATTGCACAAAATTCCGGCTTTTGAAAATTAGCACTCTGAAGGAACTAATGTTGCCGGTTGCTGTGTTGTTTATGATCGGCAAAGTTCATATAATCATAGAATAAATAATAGTATAACAATCACAATCGTGGGTGTCATCTATTCGATTCACTTTGGCGGTAACACAAAGCCCGCACACAACGAAAAAATCGCGTTATACTCATTCACTGGCTCGCTTGGTTCGTTCATGTACAGCGAGCCAAAACTCGAGTTAGGGAGATCCAATTCAAGTTAACTCATAAATCCGATATGAAAAAAATTACTATGGGACCCAATTTACTATTTAGACGTAGGTTTTAAATCAACTACTCCTATCGCGAAATAAAAAATATGATTATAGAGAAAAATTAACAAACTTCACAAAATCAAAATAATAGACTTTTGTTTTGCCTGCCTGATTTAAATTGTTCACAATTTAAATCAGGCAGTCCAAGCAGTAACTATCCACAGCCGTTTAAAAAATGCACAGTCGAAAGCACTATGCAGTGAAATTGTTTATGCTCACGATCGCCCAGTGCTTTATTTTCATCAACTTCAAGCAAACAACAAACTCGTTATCTCAAACTCAAAAAACAAATAATTATAATTAAATTGTGTAGATACATATTGTTAAAAATTATGTGGGTGTTGACAGCAAGGGAAAAAACAATTTAATTTGTATATCAATTTATGTAGAATAGTCATAAGACGACAAGCAAAAACTACACTAAAGAATAACAAAGCCAAAGCAGTGACAACTGTGACATTATAGTTCACACTTGACAGTGAGTTATACACACCATAATGATATTTTTAGGTGATCGATGCGTTTAGGAATCCTGAATTATTCAAACCATTAATAGGAGATGTAATATTTAGTTGATATAGATTTCGCATAAAACAATCGATTATTAGTTCTTTGACTTCGATGTTTCGATGTTTGACATGTGGCAAC